CCTATCAAAATAATACTTATTAATTTTGGATAAAGAGTCTTTCCGTAGTAATTTAATGGAACTCGGAAAAATGAGATTTATCAGCTCTTAGAATTGATTTATTTCGAACGAAGCAAAGAATGACACTGAAGAAAGTAAGAGAAAGAAAAGTGAAAGGATTGAAAAAATATGATAAATTTTAAAAACTTCGATTAAGTTTTAACGTGAATCGGGGGTGGGCGAGAAAAACGATGAACTAAGAAGAAGAAGAAGAAGAAGAAGAAAATGAAGTGGAGAAAAGCAAGGCGTGAACTTCCAGTCTTCGTTTTCACTGATCTCACATTCTACTGAACTGCTTTAATTAAAGCAGACATTAGCCTGCGTTAACTGTAATTATATCGTTTCGCGAAAGAAAAACTGTGACTTTTTACACGACAATTTTATTTCAAGACAATTAAATCGACCAATCTATGGTGTTACTCTTCTTTATCTCCTTTTCCCCTCTCTATTCTCATTAAAATATTTCCTTAAAAATTACGATTTCGTTTCTACTAAAATACTCTCATTATTTTTAAATTCATTTCTATTCTCTCACGATTTAGTCGGCTTTACACAGGTTAATCTCTTAAAGCTTGAAAGTAGTTATTTGTTTCAAAGGACTCTAAACATTTTTTTCTTTTCTTTTCTTTTCTTTTCTTTTCTTTCGCTCGCCTATTTCTCCATTTACTCCAGCATGTTTTTATGACTTTAATAACGCCGAAAGCACATCACTTATCGTTACCTCTGTGAAGGAATTTTTCGAAAAGCACAGAAATTGTAATATATAATCGAGTTCCTTTTATCTGTAGTTGACGTTTCGAATTAATTATGCAAAATGAGAAAAGAGGAAAGCTTTTTTATTCGTTTTTATACAAAATCATTCATATAAATATACATATTATTAAGTATTTAAAATAGAAAAATAAAAAATTTACTATTTTTATTCGTTTCTGTAAACAATATGCATATACATGAGTATATCATAGTTTATTTTGTTTGAAATACGATACGTTTTCGAATTTTATTACCATTGATTACGAATCTATTAAATGTCGAGGAGAATCTGAAGAACAATTTTGAAAATATAATGTAAACGAAATGTAAACTTGATGTATCGTTCATGAAAATAAACCTAATGGAAGATGGCGAACTATATATAACAACAATAATAATAATAATAATAAAGACGATAATTATCAAGTGCTTTTATATTTTGGCGAATTATTTGCTATAATAATGCTCATATAATCTATCAGAGAATATATATTGAAATCCGTTAAAATTCGATAAACGATTAAAACTAATAATGAAGCGAGGTAAAAAAAAAGAAAAGGAAGGAATAAATTTTAATAGAAAAAGATTTAGAAATATCGAATGAAATATGTTTGAGGATAAGCGTTTACGCTCGCAGATAAAATATCTTCATTTAGTATATACCAAAGAGAAGGTAGAAGAAGTAGATATAGTATAAAGAAGATGGTATAACGATAAAAGAGATAGTATGAACGTGCCGAGAATAGTGTTCGGCGTGAAATTGGAGCAACGACGTCATAATTTGAAATCTTAGTAACGTCCGGGAGGAACCAAAAGATCATTTAAAAACTGGAACATTCGAGATGTTTGAAATGGCCTTATAAATGGCCAGCAAAACTTTTCGTTCCCTTGATCCTTATGACTTTCTTTTTTTTCCTTTTTCTTATTCTTCCGCTCATTCTGTAAGGAAATCTTGAAAACATCGCAAGAAAAAGATTCGCGAGAGGGCGAGAAAAATATGCTGAATGATAGCATTTTTGCGAAAGCAGAAGAAAAAGGGATGTAGTACAAACTAGAAGAAAATACGGATTTCTCGTCATGCGAGATGTATTTTTTGTCGAGAGTCCTGAGTATAAACGAAACGCACTCATCTGCGTACGGATCCTAGAGCGTGCTCGCGTTTTGAATTTTTCAACTTTCGAAACAAATTCCAGCAGTACTTCCGCTTGAGAGGAAAACTCGTGATCCGGAAGTCTTGCTTCTTAGTTTCTCCATCTCTTTCTTTTTTTATTCTCTGTTACTAGGATCTCGAGACGTTTCGAAAGGAAAAACGTCTCTGATGCTATAATCTTTTGCTAAATTTCCCTTTTGTGCAAATTCATGTTAAATAAAATAGAAATATGAATCGAATGATAAAATATAAAATTTGTTTTTAAGGAAAACAAAATTGAAGTTTTTAAACCAATGAAACGAGTTTACGCCTGCTAAATTTCACGTGAATTCTATACCTCTCTTTTTATTATATCAGTGTCTAAATAAAGATAGATCAGGTGCAAAACCAATATCTACGGCGATCATCAATTTTAATCAATATTCTCCGAGTTTATATATATGTGTGTGTGGGTGTGTGATTCAGCACTACTTAAATAATATAACTTTAGGAAGGAACCAAGTTTAAAATAACATTAACGGAAATATTATAGATCTTACTCATCCCTGCTTATTTTGATTCATTCCGAAACTTAATCCGATATAAAAATTTTCGAAATTTTGTACTTCATTCACTTTCTTCGTATAAAATTAATTTCAATAAATCAGACTATGTATGTATGGCTTGTATTGGCGTGAAAAAATGAACGGCAATTGATTACCATGAAAGAAATAAAAAGCAAAGAAAAAACAAGAAAAAGTCGAAGATGAAACGATAGTAAGTGACTTGGCAAGGAAACGAATAGAATGAAATTGATTTGACTCCTTTAAGAACAGCCAGCCCACTAGTCTTGCCTCAACTCGATCCTTCCTTGCTCGACAGGGTTAGAGTTTATGTTGTCGCTACATCAAACACTTCTTCTCGTTCGACTGGCACTCCTTCTCGTTCCTTGGCAAGTGTACATCTACGAGAAGAGCACTCGGTACGACACCGTTCAATTTTCTTGAAAATTTGCTGAACGCCGTCGTATAGTTTGACTGTACGGTTGTATGTCGAGTATCTTAAGTACTTTTGTACCTCAACATAGACTCGTTTTCTTTACTCGATCTTTGTTATATTATAAAAACAAACATTCTTTTTATGATTTCCGATTCTGATTATATCTATACGAAACGAATATTTAAATGTCATAGAACATTGTTTCTTTATTCTTTTTTATTCATTTTTTCTTTAAACATTATTACTAAAAAAGTCATAATTCTCTTATTAGTCATACCACTAAAGTATATTACTTTTTATTTCAGAAAATAACATGAAAATTATGGAAATAAATCAATTTATTATATTAAGGATATTTCTTTTAAGGCATTTTTTTTTAAAAGTTAATTTTACATCATTCTAGTGAAATTTGTAAGTTACTTATTAGAGATCTTTTTTAACGAACGATGCCTCAGAACTAATAAGTAATATATCTTTATGAAAGTCGACTAACTACAATTTATCGACGCGGAGATATACCTACTCGAAATATGGACAACGAAATTCATCCCTTTTGTTGTCGGTTTTTCTACTATGTCCATAGATCGACTATACGTCATTGTTTAATCGTGAAAAAGAGCTTTCGGCGCGCCTCTTCTGTCGATGGACGGCATAGAAAAAATCAGCGACTCGACAGCTATCCGTTTTCGTAACGAATGCGTTAGAATTATTGAACGATCAAATCCTCCTTCAGGCGAAGGAAAGAAGTTTTGATATTGATGAGTGATTCGAAGGTAGTCGTTTGTTTTGATAATTTTTTCGTTTTGTTTATCGTATAAATATCGACAATCTTGGATACACATTTTTTTACACAAATTCTTTTTTTTATAAATTAATAAATACATTATAACATTCTCCTATTTATGATAAAGTAATCGATTTCGTCTCAATGATACACCAACTACGATTAGTAAATGTTATAAAATGTAGCAAATTATTTCTACTATTAATTGTAAGTTCCGAATTTAATGATTTCCAAATTCCGACTTATTAGTTTAGAATCGGTTTTATAGGGTACAGAATATATACTTTATAACTCGTGACAGACTTTTAACTAATAAATGACTGAATGCACCGAAACACATGCATAAATGTTACTTTTTTGACTGATTGTGAAACTTATTCTCATAACGTTTAAAAAATGCCAAAAATGGCATTGGTCCAGTCTAAAGCGGTTTCTTAGGTTATACGAAAAAAATTTGAAACGTTAACATATGTAATAAATATATATTTAAACGTAATATATATATATATAATATATTAATAATTCTACAAAATATTAATACATTGTGTATTGAAACTCGACGTATATTCGACAAAATGAATATAACTTTGATTTTATAAACTTCTGAAATAACGATTTTGATTGATCGACAGACCTCGGCCGAATGCGTTTTCTGGCAATTAAAATTTCCAGTCTCTCGGCGTAACTCACGACACTTGGTATCGATTCGAAGCTTCCGTAAAATAAATGCAATCTATCAAAGCCGCGTTTCTCGTTACTTCGTTCGTTTCTATCTCCCTCAAGCCCATTTCCTCACCACCCACTTCCTCACGCCTTCACAATGTCAGGTCTTTCGAAGTGCGATTAATTAATTACTGATTAATTTTACGAATTATGCTACACGAAAATTTTACCAAAAATTCGACCTATTAATTAATGAAAATTATTACGAATTTTAATCAAAAATGATATATGTGTATTTAATTTTCATTCGAACATTCAATCTCATTCGACTCGACGCTTAATTAGCATTATTTTGATGAGTTTTATTACCAACTAAAAGTCAATCAAAAATTTATTTCGCATATTATTTAAAATTTATCAATACAACTAACTATTGCGTTTTGTTTTTTTTTTCTATCGCAAAAGATATATTATGATCGTAACGGATAAGAAAAAACAAACTTAACAAAATCGAAAAATTCGGTAGGAATTGAATGAAGTCAGTTTTATTACTTTAGCAAACGTGCTTCGCTTTGCTCATTCATCGCTGACGAATCACGCAAAGAAGAAAAGTTAGAACTATATTTCTTTTAGATCGTACATCGTCGTGTGGCGGCTGTAGTAACGTTATTGTTGATCCTTCCGACGACTTTATTGTGACTAGTTATCATTGCTTCTACACTCGCGCCTATGTATGTGTTTTTATGTATATGCAAGTACAACTGCGGTTATTATAAAACGATTAATTTTGAAAATGAAATAAGGAAATTGAGCGCTTCTTAAAACGAAAAGGAGAGAGAAAAAATTTTTAAATGAGAATTTATTTCTCTTTTTATCTTTTTCATTAATTCTTAGAGGATTATAATTGGACCAAAAATATAGTGGCGAGAGAAGAAGAGAGAAAGAAAAGTTCCAAACAATCTCGTTTCCTCTCTCTTCCCGAACTCTCTTCTCAACGAAATTTTCGAAAACTTCGAGAAACATTCATATCCTCGCATATCAATAGTCAAAATTTGCAGTGAATCGTCCGCTCGAGAACACTGCGGTTATCTGAGGAGAAGAAAAGAAAAAGGAAAAATAGGAATACTATTTTCTTCTGCAACGACGTGGAAAGTAGACGGAATAAAAAGAAAGAAGGACTTAAGAAAAAACACAAAAGAAATAAAAAGAAGAAAAAGAGAGGGAAGACAGAAGGATGAAGAAATAAACGAATCAATCTTGAGCACTTCCTCTTCAAAGAATGGAAAAAAGGTTTTAGGAAATAGAGGAAACAATTCTTCTGTATCTTTAGTAAAATCATATCAAGTGCGTCTTTGGATACGGATCGAAGCCATTTTCCTTTTTTGATATCGATTCGGGCGCGGTCGATTCACTGCCAGATGACTTTACAAAGGGTCCACGAAGATTCACCCGACGTTTTGTCTTCAATATTTGAATACGAAGACATAATAAAATTATAATAATTCACGGATGGCCCTGCGATGAGAATAATATATTATTATATTTACACATCCTTACCCTGGCCCTCCATACAGAGATATTCATATACATAGATATATTATATACATATAGATACAAACAGAGAAAGGATATATTAAAAGGATATACGAATGTTTTGCGACCACTTCAATAGAGCGGTGGTCGTTATTGTTTGTTGAGTGTACTGTTCATTGATAAGAAAAGAGAAACAGAGAGAGAGAGAGAGAAGGATAGAAAAGGTGCATATACAGAGAGCACCGATATCAAAGGAAAAATGGCGATGGTAATATCACCCCGTAGCAAAATCGTCACATTAGCCTTGTTGATTGGTATTATAACACTCGTCGCTTTAATCATAACCGGTGTGATCGGATTTTGGCACAAAACTGAGAAAGCACCGAACAACGGAACGAAGATGGTCAGTAGCAGACTTCAACAATTCACCGGCTACACCGCTACGAAGCACGTGAGTAAAGAGACTTTATCAGTTATTTATTATTAATAAATACTATATATATATATATATATATATATATCATAGGATAAGTAAGTATATTTTGTCAACAGAGGTGTAGCTTTTCAAGAGATGCTGCTGCGATTCAATATATGTTCAAACGCGTTTTGATTTACATACGAATAGATGTATTACATAATTACGCGTATCCTATATAAATTTACATATATCTTGAGTTAGAAAAACGTCAACTTGAATGGTCTAATGAGAATTACAGTTTGAGTGCGTCTAACACTCGTATTCGCTTGACCCTTCACTCGAATGTAATAATACGAAGCTGATAATACACCTAGAGTTTACAGCTTTAGCTTCCTCTCTCCCATTTTCGAGTCTCTCGTATCGAATAACGTTAATCCCTCTTGATCCTCGTTATTCTGTTGAATCGATAACACTTATTCCGTTCCATGAAATTTCGTTTCATTTCCGAACTATCCTCAACCTCTACCTGGTATTCCGCGTTTACCTTTTTAAGAAGACTGGATTAAATTCGATAGATATCCGTTAAATATTACCACAATGAAATTCGTTCAAGGTTGACAAATCTATGGGATTTGTTTAACTTACCGAGTAAACGGGATCGGAAGAAAAATAAAATAAGTCGTCACGTTGACAAATTTATGGAAGTAGTTATGCGATAATTCTTATTTTTTATTAAAGTTTTGATGTTTTCCGTTGAACTTTCTGAACCACCTTAAAACCATCGTAACATTAGTAAACAGTAAAGGTTTAAAAGGTGGAAGTCTGAGTGACGACGAATCGGATTCTTCGCATAGCTTGTTTCGACATTCACATTCCAGGATGAAGTTTTCGGTGGTACTCTTCGTGTATGTGCATCGCAGCATCGCGATTCGAGCGTGAACAGTCTGCTCGTTCCGATGAATCTCATTGCAAAGGCGTAGACGTTCGATATCGTTTTCTCTTCAATTTAATTCTATAAATGACGATATATAATCAATAATCTTTACATTCCCCATAACTTTTTCGAATGGATTAGGAATATTAAATCGAGTTAATAAGTGTTTAAACCAAAACATAGACGCAACTTTTTTCAATATGCATATATCTACAACTTTTATAACTAATTGAAAAATTCTTAAGTTCTTTCGTAATAATTTTTTACTTCTTATTTTATTTGTTAAAACTTTTAACTTATACGCGAGCGAACACAAATCTGTAAAAAAATTCTTTCTTTTTGAGTATATTTATAATGCTTGAAGTTCTACGCCATTGTTCGGTATAGATTAGTTCCGAAGCGTTCGGTCCGGTAAAGTTCTCCAACTCCGTTTAGATCATCAACAGACTTCGTGCTTACCGACAAACCTCCGATCGTATTTAAAGTATGCACACACGCTCGAATTATCGATCGTTACTTAAATTTACTCACGTAACACTCACGAATAGATACCAACGTAGTTTTGCTTGCGTGATTTTATTTTTCGATCTTTTTATTTATATCCAATCCTGATAGATCGTCAGAAAAACAAGTCGGAAAACGAACTCCACAATAAATTGCATCTAGCTCGACCTGTCACGTGAACGTTAACAAAAAGAAAATACAAAAGTAAATAAAACTTTTGTAAAAAACTTATTTAACTTTTGACACGCACAATTTTAATATACCTAAACGTTCGAATATCAAACTATGCATCTAGAATCGACCATCAACCGTTTCCTACATACAAGTTTATCTTCTAATTCTACATGCATATTAATACTCGATGTAAATCAGGATGACTATACATATGTACGTTACGGCCGAAATTCAACGACGCGTTGCGTTGTCGCAGCCGACGACGACGACGACGACGAGGACGACGACGACGTGAGAGAAGCTCGTCTAACTCGAGTTTGCTTGGAAATAATCCACAGGTGGATCGAAAGTTCCACAAATTGGTAAATCCAATGCCTTGGTATAACGCTCTGCACTGATTCACTAAAGCTGGAATCTACTTCTAAATGCTTTCTCAAAGTGATTCTCGATCGTTGAACTCGCGAAGATAAAATAATCTTATGCATTTAAACATTTTTTTGTTTACATACTCAATTAATTTGAAATATTCTTTCTATTTATGTATACACGAAGTATATATATATATATATTTGAATATCTAGACAATATGATCGAATTGGATCGGAAACTTAATTAAAATATCATGCCAATTAAACTTATTTAATTACTATATTTCTAGTAACTTTTCTTCAATTTAATTTGTTTGGAGAAGCGGAACGTTGCTCATGTCAAATCTCTATGGCACGCATCATATTATTAAAATGTTATTCACGCAAATAATGCGAGAAATCTCGTTTGGCTCTCACCGGTCGTGTCATGAAATCGTTGCGTGTTTAAAGCAAAGAGAGTTGCTCGACGTGTGCAACGAGTAATTACGGCTATCCGCACGAAACACGAAGAGATTTACGGCGTTTATAAAATTGAAGTAAAATTTCAAATGAATAGACTGTTCCAGAGCGGTGACGTAAAAACCTTCGAGTTGATTAATCTCATTTCGATATTACAAACAAAATACGCGAGAAAACCCCGTAGAGAAAACGATATGTTTACTTGAAATTCTCCAGACATTTTCGTCACGATTAATTCGAAAATATTAATTGTACGATCGACGAATTAAAATTAAAATACCATATCCCTTATTTTTCAATACTAACGTATAATTATATACTCAACAAAATTTCTAACAATAATATGTAATTCCCTTTGGAGAACGTATCTCAAAAAAACTTTTAAGCATTGTAACTTAAAGTAGAAGTAAAGGCGTATACAGATATACAGGGTGAAACATTTAAATTGAAATCCTCGAGTACTATAGCTTCTCATAGACGTAGATATAAAAATACTTTGTGGAAGAAAGTTTATTATCTTCGTTTATGTAATAACCGTGGTAATAAAAAAATAATCAGAACTTTCAAGATTTTTCTTATGCATTCATAAGGAAGAAAAACTTTGAAATATTCACATTAAAATGTCCCATTCTATATATGTATAAAAACTCTATATATAAAAGACGTATCCAGATGGGTGATATAACTCGACGGAAGGTGATTACAGATGCAAAAATAAGTTGAAAAAGTAGTCGGAAGGGAGTACTTTTTCGTTTGAGGTCCTGTCTTCGAGAAATTGTTTTCAAAAATTCTAAATTTAAGACCTGCTACTATCATATTGATAATAACCATGAAAGGAACCTTATTCAGTTAATTTCTGCTCTATCCATTGGATCATCCTTCCATTTATCTGCGACGATTTGAAAATCGTTGTCTATAATATTCAGCAGCTGTTGGTGCGTCATCGTCAAAATTCGATTGATAGAGACTGACTGAACGTATAAGAGATAAATCATTCGACTGGTGACACAATATAAACGTTACAGTGGACAATAAATACAAAAGCGTAAGCAAAAAAAATATACGGTATTCTCGAAAACAAAGCTTTAAACAAAGAAACATGATTCTTTCTTTTGGCTTATTTTTATATGTAAAATCGCTTTTACGTTAGCTAGAATCTACTGTACATACGGATACACCCTGCATATACACTTACTTATTCATAAAAATAAAAAAATAAAAAAATAATTAAACATTTGTCACGAAGCTTTATCCTCTTTCTTCGTTTTAATATTAATTTTAATTTCTAGATAAATAATGCGAACTTGAAAGAAAAGGTACATTGCATACTGATTTATTAAATGTTATCTTTTTATATGACTTTTAATTCGAACTTACATACGAGTCACTCACTTGACAAATCGATTAACTCCATAAAACAAAAAACAAATAGAATTGCTAAAGTAATATACAATACATTGTTGTATCACTTATTATTCAACAACTATGAAAATTGTTTTTATTTAGTAATGTTCAATTTAAATATTAAAGACTTTTGTTTTAAATATTTAAAAGATAAGTATCGATCAAATGTTGTGATAGTAAGATTTTTAAAAATTCGAAAAGTAGAGTTAATCGTTTTGGACTGTGAACGACTCATATGCATAGATCTCAGAAAATAGATAATATACTTCTAAACATTTTCTAACTTCTATCAATAATTTAGTATTTAATATAAAGAGAGATAGTACCGAATAGAGGTGTATTTCTATAGAAAATTCAGCCGTCATTGTATTTAGCTCGAGGCATTTTCGCGCGAAATACATTCGAGCTTCAGCGAGTACAACACCCGCAGAGAATTTTCCGAAAACGTCCGTCCGTTTGTGGTTAGACGCTCGAACGGACGAACCGCATAATATGAGCTCCGGAATAGGTAATCCAAATCGCTTTAGGAAAACGATACGACCAACTTGATAATATATCCGATTTTCTACGAGCCCTTGGAAAACGACTTTCCTTTTCGCATAGGGCGATATACTTACTATCGTCTTCCTTTCTTCCTACCACCTTATTTCGAGATCTTATTGAACGAAACGATCTACGTTAACGACCCTCGTTGTTCCTTGATTTACTGACGGTACGGATAAACCCACGCGTCGATTCCAAATCCGAAGCTACAACTTTGAGTATCACATATACACGTACAAACACACAGAGTATATACATTTTCCATTCAACCTTTACGGGAACACTTTTTTTATTATATTTCCTTTTTTTCTCGATTTATTTTATTTGAAATTACATTTATTTTATTTAACAACATTCAAATGAAACATTTAATCGAATTCATATCAATTTCAAACTCATAACAAAATGTACGTTATTTTGCAAATTTTCATAATTTACGTATACTGTTTCTATACGTGCATCGGACATAATTTTCAAAAGTATCGGTCGTAAAGCCAAATGCAAAATGTATCTCTTTCGTTTTGGAATTTATACTGTAAAATTAGCATTTTATACATTTCTATCCTTTCTGTTTATCCATAAACAATGTATTTACTCTTATAAATAATGTTTTCTCTCATATACAGGAACACTTCATACTTTAAATC